ATTACCTTATGTTTTGTCCATAATTTATCCGATCCTCCACTTGACATGTCGTATTCCTTTCTTTTTGATTTATCAGTTATTGTTACTCGATTCTGATCTAACTCCTGCAGAAATAACGTACTCATCACGAATGAATACAATTAGAAGAGTACACTCACCAATACATCATGAATAAGGGCCTGATATGTCCATGTGTGATGTAACATCGTTGCGAGATCAGCTGACCTGAGGGATAATAAGCATAATAGTTAAAAACTTTAATTAATTTGAAAAAAAAACACCAAGAGATATTTGAATGAAAGCGAAAATGATTCTCGAACATAATTGGAAGAAAAAGAACGTTTAATAAGAGATTACCTGTCAGCAATCAAGAGCAATGGGCGGCTGGCATTTAGTTGTCCAGCACGAACACTTTCAACTGTGAAAAGATTGTTACGAGCGTCTCGCAGATTGTCGCGAAGCTTCTGGTCCAATCGCTGCAACAAACATCATCACATGAGTATTCTTGACGAGTTGTAACGAACATTCTCACCTTCGCAACATGCTCAGCAGCATTGTCCTTGGGACACCTGATGATTGGCACGATTCCCATTGTAGCACAAACAGAAAATAAACCATCAGCAACGGATTCGATAAGGGCTGCCATTTGATCATCAGACGTTGATGGATCATTGATAGCTTAAAATATTGTCTGCTCAAGTCAAATCTATCAGTGATGGATTACAACCCTTGGCCTCAGCTTCCACATCGTCGAAACCCAAAAAGTAAATTACGCACGTTAAACATCAGAACCATAAAAAGAAAGGTAAAGCCTTAGCAAATATGGTCTCAAAAACAAAAAAGAAAACAAAATTTCCAAGCAATAAAACCCAAAAGTGCTGAACAAGAGAAATCAAGGATTTAAAAGAACACACCGAAGTATGATATCGGGCTGTTTTCACTGTATCGTCGCAATACAAATAAATCATCTTCTAGAGATATGAAATTTAGGTATTGGTCAACAACCTAAAATCATCCAAA